GTCCCAGCTACTGGGGAGGCTGAGGCAGGAGGATCGCTTGAGCCCAGGAGTTTGAGGTTGCTGTGAGCTAGGCTGATGCCACGGCACTCTAGCCCGGGCAACTCTGTCTCAGAAAAAAAAAAAAAGTGAATTTGCCATTCCTACCTACATGTTGGTTCCTTGAATTTTTAATGTCTGCTTTCTAAACTAAACTTACTAGGTCATGCAAAACCTTGGCGCTTGACCACCACTAAGGTTCAGTTGGACATTCAAACTTCACAAGGGCCCAGATACGGCAGGAAACACTGTCGGTAAGACAGTAACATCAGAATTGTGTCAGTGAGGATCCTCACAGTATTCCAGAGGTCTTCCCAAGTTAAAGCTTAGATGTAAAGAAATTGTACTGCTGGTGGGTGTAAGAGCCACCATGGCTTAGTAATTTCATGTTTCTTAGTCCATAATCGAGGCCCTAGCTTCCAAGGCCCTGCAGGGAATGGTAATGACAATACTGTACTTAGGGAAGCCCAAAGCTGTGGCTTCTCACTAGCTGCGTCATCAGCCTTCCAGTCTAGATACCAACAAGAGATATACCATTACCATAAGGAATGTTGCCTAGTAACGTTGCTGACATTCCACCTCATCAGGCTTACACAGTGCTAGAAAAAATTAACTAAATGTCTTTTTTTCTCAGGAAGGAGAGTTCTGTTAACCTTTTACTCATATTTCATAACCCAATTCAATTTTTTACACTGCTTCCTCTGTTTAAGTATATAGCTTTTGATTATTCTTAACTAGAAAAAAAACAGAAGTTTATTTAAAAGTCTCTCAATCAAAACCATTTGTAAGGCCCTTTCTTTCATGCCAAAATGCAAACCTTAGTATGTTTCGTTTTAAAAGAATTACCTCTCTCTCCTCTTCCTTTCTCTCTCTCAGAAAGAGAAATTTATTGCTTTTAGTAATTTTTCTCAGCATTGTTTTGTAGTTCCCATTGTGCAGGTTTTGTACATATTTTGTTAAGTTTATCCCTGCAAATTTCATTTTTGGGAATGTGGTTGTAAGTGGAATTGGCTTACAGATTTCATTCTTAGTGTTCATTGATTATATATAGAAATACAATTTTAAAAAATTCACGATTTAAACCATTTTAAAGTGTGCACGGTAGTGGTATTTAGTGTACATGCAATGTCGTCTGTCATCACCACCTAGTTGCAGAACATTTTCATTACCCCAAAATGAAACCCCACATCCGTTAAGCAGCCACTCCATCCTCCCTCTAGTCCCAGGCAATCACTAATTTGCTGTCTTTGTGGATTTGCCTGTTCTTGATATTTCATATTAATGGAATCAAAAATATGTGGTCTTTTTGTCTGGCTTCTTTAACTTAGCATGTTTTTAAGGCTCATTCATGTTGTAGCATGTGTTGGTATTTCATTCCTTTTTATGGCCAAATAATATTCTGTAGTAGGGATATATCATATTTTATCCATTCATCAGTTGATGGACATTTGGATTGTTTCCACCTTTGGGCTGTTGTGTGTAGTACTGCTGTGAACATTCGTGTACAGTTTTTGAACATCTGTTTTCATTTCTTTCAGTATATACCCAGGAGTGGAATTGCAAGGTCATATGGTAATTCTGGGTTTAGCTTACTGAGGAATCGCTAAAATGTTTTCCACAGCATTTGTACCATTTTACATTCCCATAGCCATGTGTGAAGGTTCTCATTTCTCCACATCCTCACTAACACATTGTTTTTCATTAAAAAAAAATTATAGTCATCCTAGTTTGTGTGAAGCGGAATGTCATTGTGGTTTTAATTTGCATTGCTGTAATAGCTAAGGACATTGAGAATCTTTTCTTGTGCTTCTTGGCCATTTGTATATCTTCCTGGGAGAAATGTGCAAGTCCATTGCCCATTTTTTATTGAGTTTTTCTTTTTGTTGTTGAGTCATAAGAGTTTTTGTATACTCTGGATACTAAACTCTTATGAGATATATGATTTGCAGATATTTGCAAAACTCCATCTGGCGAGTTGTCTTTTCACTCTCTTCATAGTGTCTTTTGATGCACAGAAGTTTTAAATTTTGGTGTAGCCCAATTTATTTTTTCTGTGGTGGTTTGTACTTTCCGTGTCATAACTAAGAAACTGTTTTCACACTCAAGGTCATGAAGATTTACCCTTTGTTTCATCTGTGTTTTGTAGTTTAGTTGTCATATTTAGGTCTTTGATTAATTTTCATATATGGTGTGAGGTAAGGTTTTGACTTCATTTTTTGTATGTTGATTTCCAGTTGTCTCAGCTCCATTTGTTGAAGAGACTGTTCTTTCCTCATTGAATGGTCTTGGCACCATTGTTGAAAATTGGTTGAGCATAGATGTATGGGTTTATTTCTGGACTCTCAGTTCTATTCCATTGATTTATATATCTATTCTTATGCTGGTACCAGTGTTTCGATTACTGTAGCTTTGCAGTGTAAATGAAGAATAAAATCCCAAGCCCCCCAACCACAGACTGGATCCCCTTCTGGCAAAGGGGACCCCGAGAGAAACCTTAACACTGTGGCTGCCATCAGGCTAGTTTTGAGCCCGGCGCTGTGTGAAGCCAAACCCCCTCAGTTGGTTCATGTTCTTATTGTTACAGTTTATGTTGACAATTTAATTCTTAAAATGTGGATTGTGTTGCATTTAACTCACACACAGAAAACAATAAAAAATAGCACATTAGAAAGGATCATTTTGTTTTAATAAAACACTGTGGCCCCAGGGAAATTTTTTTTTCTAGTGTGGCAGTCAATGTGTTAAAAACTGAGTTCCCGGCCATGAAGGGGTGGGAGGTTGGACACACCTCGTTACACTCCTTCCCTTTTGCAGTTTAGACACAACAACTGACCAATGTTAATATTAAAACAGAGATCATAAGAATGACAGAACGGACTCTTTTTGGCGATAAGATACCAAATTATAAATAAGACCTAAAGCCATCCAGGCAAGGGTTAAGTTACGCACACCTATACTTAAAAAATAAACTATGTTCGGCCGGGCGCGTTGGCTCACACCTGTAATCCTAGCTCTCTGGGAGGCC